CAAAGACCTAAAAAAATAAAAGGAAATTGGTTAATTAATAACCAAGCGAAAGAAGAAAGAACAAAACAAAGAAGAAATTGAAACACCCACCTTGCACCTTGGATCCAGCCGAAAAACCCAAAGACCTAAAAAAAAAAGGAAATTGGTTAATTAATAACTAAGCGAAAAAAGAAAGAACAAAACAAAGAAGAAAATCGAAACACTCACCTTGCATCTTGGATCCAGCCGAAAAACCCAAAGACCTAAAAAAAAAGGAAATTGGTTAATTAATAACCAAGCGAAAGAAGAAAGAACAAAACAAAAAAGAAAATCGAAACACCTACCTTGCACCTTATATCCAGCTGAAGAACCCAAAGACCTAAAAAAATAAAAGGAAATTGGTTAATTAATAACCAAACGAAAGAAGAAAGAACAAAACAAAGAAGAAAATCGAAACACCCACCTTGCACCTTGGATCCAGCCGAAGAATCCAAAGACCTAAATAATAAAAGGAAATTGATTAATTAATAACCAAGCGAATGAAGAAAGAACAAAACAAAGAAGAAAATCGAAACACCCACCTTGCATCTTGGATCCAGCCGAAAAACCCAAAGACCTAAAAAAATAAAAGGAAATTGGTTAATTAATAACCAAGCGAAAGAAGAAAGAATAAAACAAAGAAGAAAAGAAATGAAACGAAACTTACCATTTTAGATCCAGCCGAAATGTTAAAAAATCTAAAAAAAAGAAAGAAATTGGTTAATTTAACAATCAAGTAAAAGGAGAACAAAGCAAAGGTTAAAAATCTAATCTAAAATGATAAAATATAAATGTAATAAATGTAATAAATAAATACCGGTAATTTTAATTTTAATTTTTGAAATTACATAATCACATGCACACCTCTATACAATCACACTATAAGGCGATCCCAAAGGGTGTGATTGTAAAGAAGGTCGACTGTATTCATAAATTTTTTCACAAAAAGTATTTTTTGATATTTCAAATCCAAGATCGCAAGATATAATATTTATGTAATTCAGTAAACACATATTAATTATAAATAAAATTTTTACTTTTCTTTCACGTACTTGATTTTAATAACAATCAATTGTCAATTATAATTTCTTTAATTATGTCTACACAAGTTTTATTTTTTCTAATCCTTCTTTTCCAAATACAACTTCTATAATTCTAACAAAAAAAAAATATTAGCCCTATAAGAAATCGAAATAAGGAAATGATACGTTTTTGTTAAGGTTTGTATACGTAATTAATGATTCTATATC